ATTGGATGAAACAGTTTTATTCATCCACCAATAAGAGGAATATGTATTCACAGCATAAGAAGGACTTCTCCCCCTCCCATCAAAACAGTTTAATAGAACACTCACAAGTCTAAGATGAAACTTGTGAGGTCTACTTTTTTGCTTTTTTTGTGTTTTTTTTATACTTTGTTATCAGCTAACAGAACATACAGAACATATTAAGACTTGAATTAATATTCTTAATGTTCATCATCAGAGACATTATTATAAATCAAATTATTATTGTGATTTATAGAGCATTCTAGAAGTAATTAGGTCTTCTTGCCTCTGAGTCTTGTGGGGGGGAGGGTGTGTCTGGTGTGTGTGGTATGTGTGTGTGTCTGGTGTGTGTGGTGTGCATGTGTGTGTGTGGGTGGTGTGTGTGTGCATGTGTGGTGTGTGGTGTGTGTGTGTGGTATGTGGTGTGTGTGTGTGCGCATGTGTGGTGTGTGTGTCTGGTGTGTGTGTGTGGTATGTGTGGTGTGTGTGTGGTATGTGGTGTGTGTGATATATGCGTGTGTGGTGTGTGTGTGGTGTGTGTGTGTGTGGTGTGTGTGGTATGTGTGGTGTGTGTGTGGTGTGTGTGGTATGTGTGGTGTGTGTGTGTGGTGTGTGTGTGGTGTGTGTCTGGTGTGTGTGTTGTGTGTGTTGTGTGTGTGTGGTGAGTGTGAGTGGTGTGTGTGTGTGGTGTGTATGCGGCGTGTGTGTTGTGTGTTGTGTGTGTGTGTGCGGTGTGTGTGTGGTGTGTGTTGTGTGTGTGTGTTGTGTGTGTGTGTGTGTGTGTGTGTGTGTGGTGTGTGTGTGTGTGGTGTGTGTGAGTGGTGTGTGTGAGTGGTGTCTGGTGTGTGGTGTGTGTGTGTGTCTGGTGTGTGTGTGGTGTGTGTGTGTGTGTGGTGTGTGTGGTGTGTGTTGTGTGTGTGTAAGTGGTGTGTGTGGTGTGTGGTGTGTGTGTGTGTGTGGTGTGTGTGTGTGGTGTGTGTGGTATGTGTGTGTGTGTCTGGTGTGTGTGTTGTGTGTTGTGTGTGTGTGTGGTGTGTGTGTGCGGTGTGTGTGGTGTGTATGTGTGTGCGTGTGTGTGGTGTGTGTGTGGTGTGTGTGTGCGGTGTGTGTGGTGTGTATGTGTGTGCGTGTGTGTGTGTGTGGTGTGTGTGTGTGTGTGTGTGTGTGTGTGTGGTGTGTGGTGTGTGTGTGTGCGTATGCGGTGTGTGTGGTGTGTGTGCGTATGCGGTGTGTGTGGTGTGTGTGTGTGGTGTGTGGTGTGTGTGTGTGTGTGTGTGTGTGTGCCTATGTGCTCATGTGGAGGCTGGAGGTTGGTGTTGAGTACCCTATCACCCTTTCTTCAGTCACTCCCACATTGTTTTGGAGGCATCTTCTCTCACTGATTGGCATGCTCGCCGGCCAGCCCCAGAGACGGCCCTTTGCATGTCCAGCCCTGGGGATAGAAACACACACTTCCATGCTCACTCTTAAGACCTGGGCTCTGCAGTTTGAACCCCTGGTTTCCAGGAAAGGTTCTCACGCTGCAGCAAGCACTCCACAAGCTGAGTCGTCTCTTCAATCAACGAGTCCTTACTGTTTTAAACCTCTTTTTAAAACTGCATGTGTACATGTGTGTCTGTGCAAGAATGTGCCATTTGAATATACATGCCTGTAGAAGTCAGAAGGTGGTGTTGGATCCCTGGGCTGGAGTTACAGGAGGTTGTGAGCTGCCTGCCATGGTTGCTAAAAACTGAACTTGGGTCCCCAGAGAGAGGGCAGTGTATGCTCTTAACGGATGAGCCGTCTCTGGCTCCTCAGTCAGCTGAACACTATTTCATCATCATCTGAACCAGGTCGGGGATGGAACGCATGTTCAGCCACATTCCTTTGCACGTCATTTAAAGATTCTCTGCAGTTCCCATCATTCTTTCCTTTTAGATTGCCCTTTGAAAGCCCCTCTCCCCACACAGACAGATGCTCCCACCATTCAAATCACATGACATATCTATTGCTCTCTGTTGTTCTGCTTGCCTGGAGCCTCTGCCAACTGCTGCGGCAGAATAGGTTCCTAGCAAGAAAAATTCTCTCAATCACCGGTCACATCAGAAAATGAATTCTACTTTCTGAGCCTTAGTTTCTGGACCAGAAAGATCAGTGTAATGCCTACTTCATGTGGTTTTCTGTTTTGTTTTGCTTCATTTGGGTTTTTGTTTTTTGTTTTTTTGTTAACTCAGGTTGTCACTATGTAGCTCAGGCCATTCTTGGACACACTATATAGAGTAAAGTCACCTCAGACCCCGTATCTTCCCACCCCATCCTTCTGAGTGCTAGGAAGGATTACAGGCATGTGTCAACATGCCTGACCTTTATGTGATTGCTGTGAGAATTAAAAAAAAAAAACCATGGCTACCCAGTGCCTGCCTGGCACCTAGAAAGAGCTCCGTGACTATGAGCTGTTGTTTGCTGTTACAAAATTTCAATCCCAAATCCTCTGTGAAACCATAATTATCCACTCCAAGCTACATACTAATCAGTGTTTCTGTCTTCAATAGCATCCATGTCCAGGAGTTTATAGCATTTACATATTCTTATTCCTTGTGTTTCATTCTCCCCAGATAGACTCCAAAGTGAACTAGGACATAGGTTATGTTTTATGCCAACACAGTGCTTACAGGAGCCAGGAAAGGGACTTGGAGTAAGAAGACAGGGGGAGTGAGGACCCTGGCCAATACCAGGGCACATGTCACTCTGGCCAATTGTTGTCATGAGGGAATGAATGTTGGTCCGGGGTTGCCAGAACTCAGTTTTCTCATAAGAAACCATGAATCTAGACTTTTGTGCAAAGCCCTGGGTTCAAAAGCTGGGTCATTGCTGCTCAGGCTAAAGGAAGAACGTCTGTGAGCCCTCACTGGTGACAGCCACCTTACCTATGTGGTCCCCCTAACGTTTGAGCCGCAGCTGGGCCTCTGAGGCTACAGAGAAACAATGCTGTGAGTGTCAATTAGGGATCTTGGCTGAACTTGGAGAGTGATTTTCATTCATCCCAGATCCAAAGTTCAGAACAGGCCCAAGGAAACCTATACTGTACACAAGGCCAGTTTCCCTGGGCGAATAACAGAGAGAGTTCCACTTGGTGACACTGAGGACACGTGCATTGGTGCAGAAGGCCTTCACTTGGTTTGCCATTGCTTCCTTAATTTATTATTATTATTTTTTAATGGGGAGCATTCCACAATCATGCATGTCGTCCCTATCAGGGGCCACGCTTCTCTCTGTTTCCTTACATTGAGAAAACTCTTAGGCCTCAGCAAATGGGTTTTGAACTGAAGGTGTCATCTTTGTCCCTGTGTTTATTATGAGTCTGATCGCTATGTACCATCAAGGACTGTCTTACCATAATATGGCCCCAGTGCCTGAAAAGTGCTAAGATCAATACATACCTGTTGAATGAGTAAATGATGGAAATGACACATCCATCAAACACCAGGCACCTATTGTATGCCAAGGGACGGGTGGGAGGGACTTCAGGGACTCTGAGGTGCCTGGGTACTCCCCCAGCCTCAGGGTATCTGGTCACCTGGAAAGGACTGCATGAGGTATTTACTGGAACCTGAGAATCAGCAGGAACTACTCCATATGTTCAATCCCAGGAGATGGCAGTGGACTGAACGCTTGGGACCCTCAGCACTCGGCTCTGGCTTTTGGGGTCAGAGTCAAACATGGGGTTTGAGACTGAGCTATTGGAATGAGCTCAGTGAGTGGGCACCTTGGGAGGCTGCGTCCTCATTCTACATTCTACGACAGTGCTGGAACATGTCTCTGGAAAGTGCCCTCAGAGAGAGTTTAAAGCTACACAAGGACGTTTATTCCATTGCTTAGGAATAATGCCTTATTTTAACAACAGAAAGTTTGGGAAAACAGAAAGTCATCACTTTGTCCCCTAAACCTGATTCCAGGTTTTGCTGTTATTGTTGTTTGTTTTTTGAGTGGTTTCCCTAAAAATCCAATGGTCATAGGAGGAATGTTTTCTGTTGTATGTGTTCCAGGCTCAGGAGGGAAGCTCCAAAGAGAAACCTCCAAGTTGTCATGAGTCACAGCAGTGATGCTCTCTGACAGGTCGATGTCACTGGAAGCAGGATTCATTTGAATGCCTAAATTCTGGTGTTTTATTTTTTTTTAAAGCCTTCAAAACTTAGATTTATTCTGTGTCCTCAGTGCTCATCACAGAATTGGGGCACATTGGTACCCCAAAGTGTCTTATGTAAAAGGAAATGGAGGAATTCTAATGTCGTTCACAGGACATCTGGGCCCTGTATTTACACTGCTTGCCACCCACCAGCCACCCTAAAAAGCGGTTGTTGTCGGTAATCACTTCTGAAGTGAAACTGAGTCCTGAGGAGAGTGGACATGATCTTCCACAGAACCCCTAATCTGCCCTTGGGAAAGCATGGGATATAGCACTACCTACCTGAGTACCACACAGAGGAAGGAGACGCAGCATAATCAGAAGACAACTCTACTGGCATGAAGTCTCCCTTTGGGCAGTGATGAGTGGCTGTCCAGCTGCGACACCTCTGCTTGCCCATGTGTCTTCTTAGATATTTTCTTTCTACCACCACGCAAGTCAAGCCAAGAAGCTCCAGGGTGTTGACACGCAGCCTGTGACATCTTCCAGTTAGAAACAGCGGCTTCAAAGTGAATGCACCATTTGAAGCCTGGCTGAGGAGGGCACCTGTAAGATCTAGCATTGCTTTAAAGGTCTATGGAGGGGACCTGTTGCTTCTGTGCCCAGGCCAATGTCAGCACACAGTAGAGGGGCTGGAAATTTGGCCAGAGCAATAACCAGGACCGAATGCACCTACTGACCCTGCAGGTGACCTTGTTGTCCCGGTTCTCATCAAGGAGGAAGAGAACTGTTTTTGAGGCCTTCCCAGGCTGGAAGGAAGTGGGGACTGACAGGTTTTGCTGTTGTTGCTTTTCTCACTGGGTGTCTGTTTCCCTAGGCTGGAGGAAAACTATGAGATTGCCGAAGGCGTCTGCATCCCCCGCAGTGCCCTCTACATGCACTACCTGGATTTCTGTGAGAAGAATGACACACAACCTGTCAATGCTGCCAGCTTCGGGAAGGTCAGTCTAACCTCCCCAGGCTGGGCCTGGTCAGCCCCCCCCCACCAACTTTACATAATTCAAACAGTTTACAGTTTTAAAATTGCATTTTACTTGGGGTGTGTGTGGGGGGAGGAGCAGGGGGGCGTCAGGAGTCAATTTGTCAAAAGCTGAGTCCTCTCCTTCCACTGAGAGTCTCAGCGCTCCATAGCAGGCTCGGTTGAGCCTCTTCACCAGCCCACGACACACAGTCGTAAAACATCCTAATTCTTGTTCTATGAAGTTACTAAAATAAACACTTCGGTGACTTTGCTGTAATATTTTGCTGCAAAATCCTCACACAGTTAAAACAGTACCAAATCAAACTCTAGAACAAAGCAATGCACAGGATTGGATAATACCTGGGTGATGTGCTCTCTTGTCTTCCGTTGTAATTACGTTGCACAAAGTGGCATGTCTTCTGTGAGAGGCAAGCGTGATTGGTGAGCCTGGGACCAGAGAGGCTCTTTGCTTGGTAATCCATGCCTTGGGGAGACAGGGAAACAGCCCTGGATTATGACCTAGAAAGGGGTCCAACATGCTGTTCTGAGGGGCTCAGACCCAGCAGTGAGGGAAGGCAGAGTATCCCATGACTCTGGTGACTTGTGTCGGCATCCTCTTGAAGGGGTCACAATCAGAAGGTCAAGTAGGTGTGGATAGAGGGGCAGCTATGGTGACTCATGCATCCTTTCTGAGCTTTGTCTGCCTTGTGGAAAGGGTCAGGTGAGAGGTCAGAGGGGGTGAAAAATAATTTAGTCATCCAGCAGCTCAGATATACGTTAGCCTCCCCTTGCTGGTGATCACAACTGTTGGTATTAGGAGTTCATCTTGGAAATGCCTGTGTCCAGAGGCAAACAACCATCCATTAGCTTAAACATAACTAACACCATTCATTGGCTTGCTCGTGTAGAGACTCTGCTTTCAATCAAAGACACAAACAATTCTGCAGCTCTGTGGTCATCTTGGCGTTTCCTTGAACTCTTACTCAAGAGCTAAAGTCTGTCCTTCCCTCTTTGCAGCCCACTCCCATCCCTATTTTAAGCCTCAAGCCCCCTTCAAGATGTGGCCAAATCCCAAGAAGTTTGGGGTCTGAAGTCACCCTGACTCGGGTTTCTTCCCGCCGTCTGTCTGTGCCATCTCCCTTACCCTGCTGTTCAGCCCGGTGTCTTTAGCCGCATACAGCATCTAACACATTGAGACTTGAAGAAAAGCAAGAACCCAGGCCACACTAGCAGCTGCTTTGGCCTCACTGCAAACAATGAGCAGCAGCACTTAGCTAGAGACTGCCCTATTAGAGGGCACCTCCCCATCACGGAAGGGTCCACAGGGCAGTCTTGTTTCACACACACACACACACACACACACACACACACACACACACACACACACACACACACACACACACACACACACACACACACACACACACACACACACACACCAGCCCTGTGCTTTTGCTTTTCACGGGACAGCCCACAGAAAGTTGATGTGGGCTCAGTAGACTGGTCAGTAGACAAGTTTACCTCCCGACAAGGCCGCCTTCATCAGCAGCTTTGCTGGTCCTCAGCTCATTTTCCATAGCCCCAGCCCCTCTCTGCCCTGCCTCTCTTAGTCGTATCAGGGTGGGTGCTTCCTCTCAGTTAAGCCCCCCTGAAAATGCCCTCACAGACACACAGGTGATTGCAATCCAGTCAAAGTGACCATGACCATCAACCCTCACAGCAGGTCCTACCCCTGTGCCCTCTCTTGTCTTTATTAATCTGGTTGTGTATTCTTTTGACAAATGCAGGGTGCCACGATCACTGTGCCTTTATAGTAAGCCTTGAGGTCAGGTAATGACAGTCCTTTCATCTTGCTCTCTACTGACCTACTACTTATTCTGGATCTCATATGTCTCCGTGTAAACTTTAGAAGCAGTTACTTAATAACTGCAAAATACCCGCTGGGATTTTAATTCGGATTATAATTAATCTGTACAGCAAGCTGTGCAGAACTGAAATCCTGACCAGGTTGCATCTTCCTATCCATGTACATGGGGCACCACCCCATTTGGCTTTCCTTGGCTCTCAATTGCGTTTTCTTCATATAGATCTTATACATATCTAACTGGGCTCACATAAAAGTGTTAATACAAACGGTGTAGTGTTTGCTGCTGGCGTGTAGAAAAGCCTTTACATATTAGCTTTCATATATTAGCCTCATATCCTGCAACACTTCTATAATTTCTTTCTAATTTAAACATTTTGGTGGGTGTTTTGTTTCTCAAATACATTTTTATTTTCTTTGTAGACAATCACGTTATATGTGAACAAAGACTAGCCTATTCATTCTTCCTGGCTTACCTTTTATTTCCTTTTCTTGCCTTTATTACATTAGTGAGGCCTTCGGGAACAGCGTTGAAAAGAAGCATGATATTCTGTTATGAACAACCACATTAAGAACTGCCCTGCCTCCCGGGGGGAACTAACCCCTTGGTCAGTGTGTCATCCACCCTTTCATCCTTCACAGCATGCATTGGTTTAAGGCTGTGTTATCTGAAGTTAATGCAACTTCTCATACTTCTTTTGGTTACTGTTATTCTCCATTTAGTTTTCATCTTTAAGCATCTTTGTATTTAAAGCTTTTTTGCAAACAACATATATTTGGATCTCGTCTCTTTTTTTACTTCATGAATCAATCTCTCCCTGACATTCCATCTCCTCTCTTTCTTGGTGTCTTGCAAGGATCTTTCTGCACAGCCCAGGCTCTCTGTGTAGCTCATGTTGGCCTCAAATCCTGATCTACCTGCCTTGGCTTCCTGAGGGCTTGAACCTACCACCTGCCCAGCACCTGCAGCTTCTCTCTGAATTGGTGTAGATGCCCGAGTGATGTTCACTCACAGTGATTATCCACACAGTTGTAACAATATTACCACACCCATTAGTTTTCTGTTGTCCTTATTCTTTATTGTATTTATATATTTTACTATTTCCTACTGTTTACAGTTTGATTTACTTATTTACTTATATGTGTATTTACTTATTTAGAGACAAAGTCTTGCTATGTATCTCAGGTTAGCCTCAAACTTGCAACTGTCCTTCTGGATGCTAGGGTTATAAGTATATGCTATCATGCCTGTTTTTTCATGCCTTATTTCATTTTTTTATTCATTTAATTTATGTGGGTACATGTGCATACATGTGGGTACCTGGAGAGGCCAGGAAGGAGGTGTTGAATCCCATGGATCTGGAGTTACAGGTGGTTGTGAGCTGGGAACCAAACTCCTATACCCTGCAGGAGCAGCAAATTCTCAAATACCAAGTTGTTACTGCAGCCCCCGACACCCAGCTTTTACTTGGGCTTTCATGCTTGCAAGTACAGGCTTACACAGCAAGTATTTTAATCATTAAGACATGTCCCCTTCTCATCCCTAAAGAAGTACTTTCAGTTAACCATTTAAAATTGTTAACTTAGCCCAGTTTGGCCACAGATTCACTGTATAGGCCAGGCTGACCTTGAACTCACGGTAATTCTGCTACCTCATTCTGAGTGGTTCCTTGAGAGTAAGTGTGCCTATATTTTACGGTCATGTTTGGATGCATATGTATGTACATGTGTCGTGTGTGGAGACCACACCTTCTCCTGCTGCTCTCTATCTGATGAGACAGGTTGTCTCAGAGCCTGGGGCAGACTGTTTGGCTAGACTGGCTGCCCAGCAAGTTTTAGGGATCCACCTGTCTCCTCCCTCACAATGGGGCTGCAATTGCACTTAGCCATATTGGGTTTTGGCATGGATTTGAACTCAGTTCCTCGTGCAGCAGACAGTTAACCCTTTTAACTTTAATTAGCCATTTTATATGACTCTGCTTTATCCTCTCTTTTGGCATAACATTTATACTTTTTTAAAAAGTTGATTTTAGTGCCTGTCCATAACTTGCAGTATACATTTACAGCTAATCGAGCCACCTTTAAGTAACTTCACTGGTGAGCGTCTTGTAACAGTCCTCTCCCTCCTGCCCGTGCTGTGTTACTGCTTTACCATCATCAATTTCCCTGATGTAGGAGCCTACACAGACAGATGTATAATTAGTGTATTGCTGAACTAGTGTTTTTGAACACAGTGTCATAGTAGGCAGACTAAAAACAAGTTTCACTTTTACCCAAAGTTGTTGGTTAGAAAGAGAGAGAGCGCGGGTTTTTATCTCTAGAAGGCTCTCGGATGCCTGTGTATCTGCTATGACATGGATCCAGGGCCTGGAGCACTGTAGGGTACGGCAGCACTCTTTGACTTTCAGTGGGCTTACATGGAGATACATCTACTGGAAGCTGAAAATGTCATCAGTCACAGATGTGTTCAGAGTACTGAACCTGCTGAACAGCAAGGTTTAGCCTCGCCTACCTTAGACATGCTAAGACATTTATTTACCCTACAATCAAGCATAATCACCCACAACAATTCGGGACACTTATTTACCCCATAGTCAGGCGCCAACAAAGCACTCCTTATAAGAAGTTTTTGAACATCTTGTATGGCAGCATCGCACACCATGGAATTCTAGCTATCTGCCTTCATGAGCACATGGCCAACCGTAGCTGCCACTCCTACTATTGCTCAGCATCACAAGAGATCATCATCTCACATTGTCACCACCTGGAAAATATCACGGTTCAAATGCAAATGCAAAGCCTGGTGTCTCCCAAATGTGTGTCACTTTTGCAGTACCTTCAAGAACACAGGAAGCTGAGTCATCAAAACTGCCCCCCCCCCAGTCAACTCTCAGATGATAGCCAGTTAAAAGCAAGACTGTGAGGCTGACACAATTTATAGTCCACAAATTGTGGGGGGTCTTGGGGAGAGGTAGAAATATGGAAAGGCATTGGATAGCTTGGACAGTGTGATCTGAGTGCATTCTGAGTGCATGAGGCCATTTAGCATTGCAAGCTTCACTTCCAGGAAGGCTTGCTGATGACTCCAACTCCTCATGGCTCTTGTCTGTAAGCAC